GGGGGGGGGGGCTTGGAAGATTTTCGAGGTCTTAGTTTCCAGTACTCATCATTGCAATGTATGTAACCAACTTCCATTAAGGTTGACGTTACAAATCTAATAATAAATACATATATTATAATATACTATAATATTTTGTATATCGTAAAATATAATCATTTTATATCTCTCATAACGAATGTCATCGTCAGAAGCACGTGACTTCCGGCCAAAAGGAAGGCAGGTTTGAGTTCTACCATAGCGGCAGTAAGACAATATAAATCTGCTATATTATAGTCAAATCGTGAAAACTATGTATATGAAATGAATTTTAAGTTTGATTCACTTTGCTTTATTTTTCTGTTACTTTTCTCGCATATGGTTATTGTACCTAAATTGTACAGATTGTATATTACATGATAAAAAAAAAAGTTTGATTCGTTTCAGCACGTAACACAACATTTTACAATAATAATAATAATAATAATAATAATAATAATGATAATCATATTATGTGGCCGAGTATCATGACCTAGAACTCGCCGAGTCGCGGTCATCGAACTGTTATTATGGTAATATTGAAAAAAAAAAAATATTTTAATCGCATAAACATAGGTAGTAATATATTATAATGATTAAAACGATTATAACACCGTTAATGTTTTAATTCGCAAAATCGATACCGGAATGAGCCCACGGCGACTGTTATATTCGCTCTTTCGCGTCGATCTTTGGCCCAAAGATTATTTCCGTACATCGAACGCCGACGCTGCTCGTTATCGTCTGTCGTGGAGGTAGATCGGCGTCGATCGTGCACGATCGATAACCGCTAAATAACAACTCGTGGTCGGGTAGACGACCGGCCTGCACACGCAGTTCGCTCGACGGACCGGATAGTGTTATAAATATCAAAATAGTCAAATAAAGCTGTTAATAGCTGTTTGTGGTTCGAGCTGTTTGACCGACGTCTCGAGACGCGCCATGGAGAACTCGTCGAATATCCACTACACAACCCTAACGTCAAACTATTCGTTCACGTTGTTCAAGGTAATAATCATTTATATTAGGTATATTATATTGTACCAAATGAACGRAACACTTYCGAATGCAATATTCTGCGWATAGATTTTGAAAACGATCTTGACTTGAAATCTGTTTGACAAGCTATGGCTGGTATATAAGTGACGACTTCATTGTCTTTAATTTTCTTTCCAGGAACTCAGTAGTTCTGTCGAAGGAAACGTTTTCGCGTCCACTTACAGCATACAATTTCTGTTGCTACTCTTGGCTCTTGGATCCAAGTCTAAGACCAACGAACAACTCAAAACGGTATTACACCTGTCTAAAGACAAACCACCGAATTACGAAAACATCAAAGCGATCATCACAAAGCTCGAAGTATGTAACATCGTACCCTGGACATTTTATAACTTGGTATCTTAAATTAAAGTTTTTCAATGATCTTGTGTCGTATTTTTATTTTTTTTTTTATGTAAAAAAAAATTCAATTTTAAACGCATAATGTATGAAGTGGGAGAATCTGAGAAGTATTTTTCAATTCGGAGTAATTTGTTGGCTTTAAATTTTAATAATAATGATTTTCATTAGTTGTTACAAAATTAAGTGGACTTGTAATTTTTGGCTCGATTTTTTAATTTTAATAATAATGGCTCTTATAAATAATTCAAACGAAATTAATAAAATAGCCATAATACACCTATTTGATATTATATCCTTAAAATAATTGTAAATATTTAGGTTAAATAATTAGTAAAACGTTATATAAAATCAAAAGTTAAATATTCAATAGTTCCTACCTATAACTGTATTAAGTAAAATGAAGTAATTCAAAATATTAGGATGAGGTATAATTATAGTTATTCTACTCGTATTCTATTATAATATTTCGATTAAAMTATTAATATGAAAATATTTCATTAATATATTGATTGATGATAAGCTAAATTAGTATTTAAATAAATTAAATAAACAACATCTGAAAAAATTATATAACAATAATTAGCAATTTGATGAGTCATTAATTTTTAATGAACAGCAAATCTTATAAAAGATATAATCGTTAATCAGTAGATAATACCTACAAATATTTTATTAAAGTTATTCACTTCATGGTAATAATTTAAAATAATCAAAGTAAAATACAAAGATAAATAATCAAATAACGCGATATTTAATATTTTAACTAAAAATTTAAATCCTTATAATATTATAAAAAAAGGTTTTATAGTTTTAAAACCATAAAAAAAAAAAAATTGATCAAAAAAAAAATGTCCGTTGATTAAACATAATCCTGCAAAAATGTATTGTGCGTTGTATGAAAAAAAAAATAAATCATGAACGATTTTATTTATTTTATTTTATATTTTTTTTTAACTGTGTAAGTACAGAAGTTTTAATATTTTGTATTCAAGTATATGTTAGCCATTTAATATTGATTTTTGTTATGCATTATCTTTTTCCAGTTTTTTTTTTTTTTATTCATAGTTTCAATAAATTAATTTTTAATACTAATGCCTTTGCAGACTAATTATTAATGACTAGGAAAGTTTATGGTTAAATTAATTATTTCAATTAATTATTCTTAGGTTCCCGGTCATTTGACTGTCGCTAATGGAATTTTCTCGGACAAAGCATTCACTTTAAGTCCAGAATACACGAAAAATACTCAAAAGTACTTAAACTCCGAAGTGAGAAGTGTTGATTTCTCTGGAAATCCTACGTCCGGGGAGTCGGAAGTTAACAAATGGGTTAATAGCAAAACCAATGGGAAAATTTCGAGAATTTTTAAATCAGGTATAATAATTTAATAGTAGCGAAAAAATTATACTGTCTGTGTACAGCAGCTGTTTCGTCGTCGATATCACATTTTGGAAAACAAATGGCAGCAATGATAATATGATAATGATATGCCTTCTTCAGGTGACATTAACAAAGATACAGCGTTGGTTTTGGCGTCGGCCGTACACTTCCAAAACTTGTGGAAATCGCCATTCACGAACACGAAGAACGCGAGTTTCTGTCTCACTGCCACGAAACATATCAATATCAAAATGTTGCACCAAACCGGTCACTTCAAATATTTCAAGGATGATCGCTATAAATTCTCAGCC